CCTAGGAGACAACCCAGTTATAAAATCCGGATGACCGCTCAACACCAAAAATCAATTATTGAAGCCAAAAGCGATGCCTGAGCAACTGCCCAAGTTTTGCCTGAGCGACAGCCCAAGTCAATCGCTGCAAGAAAAATTTGGTTTCCTTTTTTGATTGAAATTCTTATGGAAACAAATCTTGTACATGATATATATACCCTAAATCTCGTCCAAAACCTAGAAAATGCCCCCAACCCTATTTTTCTCTTTTGTGCTCAAGATTATTGATGGATTGCTAAACTTCATCTCTTGGTCGAAGGATATTGAAACCTTGGAATCATTTTCAATTTTGAGATCTACCTAATTTTCATCGTTTAATTTATATTTTTCAGTATTGAATATTCTTTTGTGCTTGATTTCATGATTGTTATGTTTGATTACTAAAAGGATCCATTAGTTTATCATGCATTTCATAGCTAAGTTAGATATCAAATCCGTAATTGTTTGATTAATTTAACTTGTGAAGCAATTAGGATTAGTAATTTATTGCTTTGGGAAATTATTAAATCTTAGGAAGAATATTAATCTAGCTTAAATGCAAATGCTTGCCTTGTGTTATCTAGTTCATTGATTTCTCTAATTCGGAAAGCCTTTATTAAATTAAATTCTCGCGCTTGTCTAGGATTGTTTGGTAATGAAGATTAATTAGATCACTTGTTTCTAATTAATTAAAAGTAAGGAGAAATAGGAAATTCTTTTGAATGGGAAATTATTTTCCAATGATGAATACTAGAAGTATGAATTAATAATTACTTGTGGATCAATGACCAATTGTAAATCTCCAACGATGGATGTTGACTTAGACCAAGGTTCGTTCTATTGATTTCATTTAATTCGATAATTTGAGTTTACCTTAATTGCCATTTTTAATAATTGTTTGTTTCAAAATCAAACCCCCCCCCCACGCTTTTTAGTTAATTTAGCATAAAAGATAGACTAAATACTCTTCGTGGGATCGACTCTTACTTCCACTACTACATTTGTTTTGAGGAGTATAGGTTTTAATTTAGAGTGTCTGCGATAGCACGCACAAAATTTCGGCGCCGTTGTTAGGGAGTGAATTAGTTTATTTTTGTGCTTTTTCTTTGTTTATTTCATTCTTTTTCTTTGTTTATTTCATTCAAAAAGAAAAAGAAAAAAAGGTGCATTTTTTGTTTATTTCCTAATTTTTAGTTTCTTTGATTGTTTATGACCATAACTAGATCTTCTAATCAAGGTAATTTATAGTAAGATCCAGAAATTGAGAGAACTTTGCATAGGTTATGGAGTGACACTCGGCGGAATCTTGAAGAAAATGATCTCAACTTGAACATCCTATTTGCAAGTGAATTTGATTTAGAAGAAGAGGACGTCATGGATGGAAATAGGACCTTAAAGGAGCTTGCAACCCCAGATTTGATTCATCAACCTTTATGCATTACTTTTCCTACTTTAGATCCTGCCACTACTTTTGAACTTAAATATGGACTAATTCATCTCTTGCCCACTTTTCATGGCCTTGTAGATGAAGATCCCCACAAACATCTAAAGGAGTTTCATGTGGTCTGTACAAGCATGAAACCTATAGGAGTTACTGAAGAGCCTATTTCTAGAAAAAATACTTTCCAGCTTCAAAGACAGCAAATATTAGAAAAGAAATTTGTGGAGTGAGGCAGGACAACAAGGAATCTCTACATGAATATTGGGAGTGTTTCAAGAAATTGTGTACAAGTTGCCCCCATCATCAAATTAGTGAACAACTTTTCATCCAATATTTCTATAAAGGCCTTCTATCCACGGAACAAAGTATGGTTGATGCTGCAAGTGGAGGAGCGTTGGTGGATAAAACTCCAGAGGGCGTGAGAAACTTAATTGCAAACATGGTAGCCAATTCTCAACAGTTTGGCACTAGACTTGACACTCCTTCTAAAAGTGTCGATGAGGTAAATATCTCATCCCTTGAATAACAGATTTCGAGTCTAACTACTCTTGTTCGACAAATGGGTATAGGTATTATGCAAACAGCAAAGGCGTGTGGAATTTGTTCAGTAGCAGGACACCCCACTGATATGCGTCCGACTCTCCAAGAAGACCCCAATGAACAAGTTAATGCAGACAGTGGCTTTACAGGACAACCCCAAAAGAACTATGATCCATTTTCGAAGACATACAACCAAGGATAGAGGGACCACCCCAATCTTAGCTATGGAAATCCACAATCAAACCAGCCCATGACCCAAAATCGCCAAAGCTTTCAACAATTCAAGCAACCATACCCTCTTAGACAACAAAGGGCTAATCTTCTAGCTCTGGTATGTCTCTAGAGGATATTGTTAAGTCTCTGGCCACTAAAACTTTACAATTTCAACAGGAAACAAAACAATTCCAACAGGAGGCAAAGGCTAGTATTCAAAGCTTGGAGAATCAAATGGGTCAAATGGCAACAACAATCAATTGACTATAATCACAAAGCACAAGAAAAATACCTTCTTAAACAATAGTAAATCCAAGGAAAAATACAGGCGTAATTCTGTTGAGAAGTGGCAAAGAGGTTGAAACTCCAATGAAAGCAGTTCTTACGTCATCAGAGCAAGAAAATGAGAAAGAATTTACTACAGAGAAGAATGTCCCCAACGACGATGGTAAACCTAAGAGTAAATTACCCCCTCTCCCTGGTTATAACCGGTACCCCCTTTTCCTCAATCATTAGCAGAATTTAGGAAGGATGAACAAAGTAAAGATCTTTATGAAACCTTTCGTAGATGTGAGGTAAATATACCATTATTAGATGCTATTAAACAAATACCTCGGTATGCTAAGTTCTTAAAGGAGTTGTGTAAAATTAAGAGAAAACAAAAACTCAAGGGATATGAAAAAGTTAGAGTCAGGGAAAATGTTTCAATGGTTATTCAAAGGAAACTACTTGCAAAGTGCAAGGATCCAGGTATGTTCACTATCCCTTGTACAATAGGCGAAACTAGATTTGAGAAAGCTAAGCTAGACTTAGGAGCCTCTATAAATGTTATGCCATATGCGATTTATGCTTCGTTGAAACTAGGACCTTTGAATAAAGCTGGAATAGTAATTCAATTAGCTGATAGCTCTAATGCTTACCCTGAGGGTGTGATTGAGGATTTGCTTGTACAAGTTAACAAATTGGTTTTTCCTGCCGATTTTTATTTGCTTGACATGGAAAACGATGATCAAAATGCTCCCATCTTGTTGGGGAGACCATTTTTAAAGACATCCAAAACTAAAATAGATGTGCATAGTGGCACACTTACTATGGAAATTGCTGGTGAAATAATCAAATTTAACATTTATGATGCCATGAAATTTCCCAATCATGATAACCATATCTATGCTATTGATGTGATTGATTGCTTAGCTCAGGAAATTTTTTAATTTGATAGAAAAGATGAGTTGGAGGTGGCCATTGGTAAACATCTTGGGGGAAGATGAGGGGGAGTTATGCTTCTTTTAGTAAACTGCATCATATCGAATCCGAGATTTCTGTCCAGTACATTCGAGTAATATTTTCGTGTTTCAAACGTTATTGTCGAAACCCCAAATTTTTTTATGTGGTACATATATGAATGATTTAATCCCTGTAAAAATTTCATAAATTTTAATAGACATTTGCTAGGCCAAAGATATTTTTCTTCCGCTGTTGTTAAATCCGTAACTGTCGATTTGCCTTCAAATATTTTACAAAATCAAATTTTGCTACATTTGCCTAAGTTATATAGATAACTACCTTCCATTATATTTTTATATATTTTTTTAAAAAAAAATTGGATTTATAAAATATTTTGGCTAGCGTCAAAGGGGTCGAACCAAAGAAAGAAACGAATATTATTTGAACGCTTCGGTTTCCGAGAATTCGGGGCGTTACAACTTGGTATCAGAGCATGGTTTATTTTTCTGTAGACTTGCAATAGAAACCATATCTTAGGAGTGTTGTGTCACATATAAAGATGATCAAAATTCTTTTAATGAGGATCCTGAGCACTATGCTCGCCATAGCCGCGCCATGCCGATTTTGAGGTAAAGAATGTTTTATGATTATGCTTGTATCTATGTGATGATTATGGAATAGTTATTTCAGATACAACATTTGAAATGTATTTATGAATATTAATATATGTTTCAGCTGAATGCCTTTTGTGAATAATCATTATTTTGCAAAGTATTTTGAGAACGTGACCATATTAAATGTTTATTTAAGTCCTCAAGAATTAACTAAAACCTATTAGATACCCACTAATTGGACTTTGAATAACTGGTAGGAAGATCAGTTCATTGATGCCTCGTCGATGTGAGATCATGAGACAGTATGAAGAGTATCGGTGGAATCCAATGCAAAATATGCGTGAGCACATTTGGGAGATGCTTGTAAGGTGGAGAGAGGTGAGACAACTAGGCTATATGGTCACTGGACGTCAGGCCACCCGCCTTCTTATCAATACCTTGCGAGAAGAGTGGCTAGAGACTATCGAATCGATTTATGATTATTTATGGGGTATTGTTGTGCCTACTTTGCCTCGAGAGATTAACTATGAGGCCTTTTGCATGGAGCTGATTGATCAGTGGGAGTTGGCCCGACTACCGATCCCTGAGGATGATAGTGTACCTACTGAGATGTACATTCATGATGATGCACCTCCACCTATTTCAGACAACGAGGCACAACCTTCTAAAAAACCTAGGGTTCATGGAGGCTGGATTAGTGATGACGATGAATAAAGAATCAAAATCTTAGTAGATTTTATTTGATTTAATTGTTATTGATGTCTAGTAGGATTTCTTTTGTTTTCCCGTTGATTAGCGCCAGACGCTCTGTTATTGCTTTGTATTCCTCTTGAAGGATTTTATTTAGATGATAATAATTTTTTTTTTTTAGCTATAAATCTCTTTCCTATATTGTGCAAGTACTGTCGACTTCTCTGAATGAGATTACATTTATGATGGTATATAGGACTATGGCGCGAGCAAGGACAATTATTGAATTAAGGCGAGAGATTGATGAGTTGAAACGGGCCCTGGCTGCTCAGGCTGCACCTCCAGCTCCACCAATCCCACCTGTACCACCAGTGCCATTAGCATATCCACATATACCGTCTATTCTGATGGTAGAACAGTTTCGCATTTATCGACACTCTACCTTTGATGGAGGGAAAGACCCTCTGGCAGCTGAAGAGTGGTTGAGTGCTATTGAGAAAATCTTTTGCACATCTCTTGTCCAGAAAATCAAAAGGTATTATGTGCTGAGTTTATGCTAGTTGGAAGAGCAAGCCATTGGTGGGAGAACAACGCAATTTAACTTGGGATCAGTTCAAAATGGAGCTAACAGAGAAGTTTTTCCCACAAGCTCTACGAGACTATAAGGAGACAGAATTCTTAAGACTGGTACAGGGATATGGAAATTTTCGAGTATGAGAGCAAGTTCGAGGAATTGTCCCGATATGCCCCACATCTTGTAAGTACTGAGCTAATGAAGGCAAAATGTTACGAGAGGGGCTTGCACCCAGAGATCAGGCAGATTGTGAGTTCAAACGATCTCACCACTTTTCAGGCAGTTGTGAAGAAAGCTCAAATAGTAACCTATTCGGGTGTGAAGTTGATAAATCAGGGACAGCGTAATGACTTTGGAAAAAGGAAGTTGGAGGATAAGAATAAGAATTCTCGACAGTTTAAGAAGCAAACAATTGTGGGCCAATCAAGTAATCCTCCATCCCAATGTCCTAAATGTAACAAGTTTCACAGAGAGGAATGTCTGTATGGGAAGTATACTTGCTATAAGTGTGGCCAACCTAGCCATGTGGTTTCCTCATGTCCATCGATTAAGAAACATGAACAAGAGAAGAAAGGAAAAGCAAGGGTGTCTGCTCTGACTCACGATGAGGTTGCCCAAAATCCGGACGTAAACGCAGGTATTTTATCCATCTCTGGAACTCCAGTTTATGTCCTTATTGATTCCGGTGCAACACATTCGTTCATATTTAATGCATGTTTAGCTAAGATTAATGCTTCATGTAAGAAGAATTATAATGTACTAGAGGTTAGTATGCCATCAGGATGAACTATTGATACAGATAGGATAGCAACGGGAGTACAAATAAATTTTGATGGATTGATGTTAGAGGCCGACCTGTACGTTATAGAGATGAAAGACTTCGATATTATTTTAGGCATGGATTGGTTAGGTAAAAATCAAGCCACGATAATATGTTTTGAGAAAGAGGTGATTTTTCAAAGATCGAAAGAAGAGGAATTCAGATTTTATGGATCGAAGGTTAAGGCACTTCCTCGCGTCATCTCAGCTTTGAAGGCAAAAAGCATGTTGAAGAAGCCTGACTGCCAGGGGTATCTTGTCAGTCTTATTAGTACCTCATCTCAAGATAAGACATTGGATGATGTGCCAATAGTACGGGAGTATGCTGGTGTGTTTTCTGATGATCTACCGGGTATTCCACCTGATAGACAAGTGGAATTCACGATAGATTTAGTACCTGAAACTACTCCTGTGTCCAAAGCTCCATATCGAATGGTACCAAAGGAATTACAAGAGTTAAAGATGCAGTTAGAAGAACTTCTAGAAAAAGGGTTTATTAGACCGAGTGTATCTCCATGGGGGGCTCCGGTACTCTTTGTAAAGAAGAAAGATGGTACTATGAGGCTGTGCATCGACTACCGTGAATTGAACAAGTTGATGATCAAAAATAAGTATCCTCTTCCTAGGATTGAAGACCTATTTGATCAGTTGAAGGGCACATCCATATTCTCAAAAATTGATTTAAGGTCGGGCTACCATCAACTGAAGATTAAGTCGGTTCATATACCAAAAAGGGCATTTAGGACTCGATATGGGCATTATGAGTTTACGGTGATGTCTTTTGGCTTGACGAATGCCCCTACGATGTTTATGGACTTGATGAATAGAGTGTTCCATCAGTATTTGGACATGTTTGTCATCGTATTTATTGACGACATACTGATATATTCGAGAGATTCCCTGCAACACGAAGAACATTTGAGGATAGTTTTGGGAACCCTGCGTCAGGATTCAAGAAATGTGAATTTTGGCTTGACCGAGTGGGATTTCTAGGCCATACTGTTTTAGTACGAGGAATTGAAGTGGATCAATCCAAAGTTGAGGCCATAACAAATTGGCCGAAACCTACAAATGTTGGAGAAGTGCGGAGCTTTCTAGGATTAGCCGGCTATTATCGGTGATTTATAGAAGGATTCTCCAAGATTGTAGGTCCTATGACACAGTTGACTCGGAAGGGTACTAAGTTCGTATGATCGGAGAAATGCGAACAAAGTTTTCAAGAGTTAAAAGACAAGCTCGTATCTGCGCCAGTTTTGACTATTCCCGATGGTTCAGAAGGTTTTGTGAGTTACAGTGATGCATCCAAGCTTGGTTTAGGATGTGTTTTGATGCAACATGGGAAAGTGATAGCTTATGCTTCAAGGTAGTTGAAGCAATACGAATAGAATTATCCCACGCATGACCTTGAACTAGCAGCGGTAGTGCACGCCTTGAAGATTTGGCACCACTACCTATATGGGAGCAAGTGTGAGATCTACACTGATCATAAGAGTCTCAAATACTTCTTCACCCAAAAGGATTTGAATATGAGACAGCGACGGTGGTTAGAATTAGTGAAAGATTACGACTGCACTATCATGTACCATCCGAGTAAGGCTAATGTAGTTGCTGATGCACTGAGTAGAAAGAATATGGGACAGTTTTCAGCACTGTGTACAAGACAGGATCATTTAATAAGAGATTTTGAAAACCTGAGAATTGAAGTATTAACGTCACCAGTAAGGGCATTAGCAAAGTTAGCAAGTTTTACTATGAAACCGACACTCAGGGACAAAATAGTAGTCGCTCAGAAAGATGATCCCTTTTTGGAAAAGATCAGGGCTGATGTAGGAACTGAGAAGAGGAAGGGATTTGAAATAGCCGAAGACAAAGCCTTGATGTTTAAGGGTCGATTGTGCGTGCCAAAGGATGAAGCGTTGAGAAATGAAATTATGACTGAGGCTCACTCAACCCCTTATGCTGCCCACCCAGGTGGAACTAAAATGTATCGAGATTTGCGTAATACATTTTGGTGGAGAAATATGAAAGGGAAGGTAGCTCTGTTCGTGTCCAAATGCATGGTTTGCCAACAGGTGAAGGCTAAACATCAGAGGCCATTGGGACTGTTGAACCCCATGGACATACCAGAATGGAAGTGGGAAAAGATTGCAATGGATTTTGTCATTGGATTTCCTAGATCAGTGAAAGGTCATGATGCGATCTGGGTAATTGTGGACCGACTTACAAAATCTGCTCATTTCTTGCCAGTTCGGACAACTTGCAGCTTAGAACAGCTTGCACAAATTTATGTCAGGGAGATTATGCGACTTCATGGTATTCCGGCATCTATCGTATCAGATAGAGACCCGAGGTTTACTTCGAAGTTTTGGATAGGTCTTCAGAAAGCTATGGGTACCAAGTTAACATTTAGTATGGCATATCATCCTCAGACTGACGGACAATCTGAACGAACTATACAAGTTCTTGAAGATATGTTGAGAGCTTGTGTCCTAGATTTGGGTGGTAAATGGGAAGATCATTTGCCGTTGGTTGAATTCACATACAACAATAGCTTTCAAGCCACTATTGGCATAGCCCCGTATGAGGCTTTGTATGGTAGATGATGTCGTTCGCCATTATACTGGGATGAAGTTGGTGAAAGGAAAATTTTAGGCCCAGAATTGGTCGAGAAGACTGTGGAGGCTATAAATAAAATTAGATCAAGAATTAAGACTGCCCAAGATCGTCAAAAGAGTTATGATGACAAAAGGAGGAAAGAATTGACTTTCGTGATTGGAGAGAAAGTATTTCTCAAAGTGGCACCAATGAAGGGAATACTACGATTTGGAAAGAAAGGGAAGCTAAGCCCTAGATTTATCGGTCCAATTGAGATTTTTGAAAAGATTGGGAATGTGGCATATCGATTAGCATTGCCACCTGAGTTTTCAGCAGTGCACAACGTATTATACATTTCTATGTTGAGAAAGTACATTCCGGATCCTAAGCATGTGGTGAATGTTCAATCACTGGATGTCCAGAGTGATATGACTTATGAGGAAGCTCTTGCAGTGATTCTGGAGAGAAAGGACCATGTCCCGAGAAATCGAAAAGTCCCACTAGTCAAAGTCCAGTGGAGTAAACATGGTGAGGATGAGGCTACTTGGGAACGAGAAGAGGACATTTTAGCCAAGTACCCCGATCTCCTTAAAACAAGTCAGTTAAATTTCGAGAACGAAATTATTTTAAGTGGGGAGAGTTGTAGCGACCGAAAAAAAAATGTGATTTGTTCATTTCAAATAAAATTTTCTAATAGGACTCAAATATAATTTGGGTTATATTATTATGTCGCTACGACACTTCCTAATAGTCCAAATTAAAATTTGGTCACGAAAGTAAAATTTCGCGTACTTGATTTTTTTAAATTTTACAAGGTGCCAAAATCTCTTTAGACGACAAATTTTATATGTTACTTTGTTTTGACGACACACATTTTATTGTATATCTATTAAATCTTTGAAAGTTAGATTAGAGAAAAAAAAACAAAAAACAAAAAAAACCTATTGTATAGTACATTAACCATCCCAACTTACCTTAATATTTAAGCCCCATTTTTTTTATTAATAAAAAAAAATACAAACGAATAAATAAGAAGAAAACTGCCATTTTGTTTTTAAACTACCATTTGGTTAGTGGGATGATAACCTACACGTCCCTATCCATATCCATTTGGAAGTTAACATTTTAAAATTTCAACCACCCCCTTTCCTCAAGTGTAACCTCCAATTTTAAATACAACTCCCACCACCATTTGCAATTAAAAATTTGTAACTCCCATTTTATAATTCTACACGGCCACTCTCACTCTCCCTATTATACTTATTGCATCAAATTATTTTGCCCCTTCTTCCATAGACAAAAAGAACTTTGAATCTGAAAATTTCTAAAGAAAAGGGCAAGACGTACACTGCATTTTATTATTTGGACACGAAAGGATATTTCAAATTCCAAACATTAAGGTAGGAGTGCTTCGGCACTTATGTAAGTGATGTAAAATTTATATATTTTCATTTGCATTAAATGTGTTATTGTGTTGCTCATGATGGAATCACCGTTTGGTGGTTTAAACAAGAGATGAAGAGATTATTATGACAAATGAAATGAAGTTATCAAAACCTAAGAGTAAGCGGACTGACTGATCACCAATTCGCTTGAAATTGACGGTAACACAATTGACCAAAGCTTGCGTTTCTGAAAATATATATTTTTACCTTTTACTTAAGTGTTTCCTATTGAGTATTATTTATAGTACTCATTCCTACAAATAATTTTACAGGTTAAGATCGAGGCATGGCAGTGGTTGGCATAGTGGCAGGTGCTCGACGATCTCTAATGCTTTCAATTTCTAGTAAATATTTCTATTTATGTAAACATTTTATGGATACTTAGATGACAATAGTTAGAAATGTTTTAATGTTTATTTTGTCTAGTTTCATAGTCAATGCATGATAATTAGAATTTAGAGGTGTTGGATTGAATATGTATGAAGTTTAAATTTATGCTGGGTTAAATTTAAGATTCTGTCCTCCTATTTAAAAATGGTGTAACTTGGGCTACGGTGCATGTTTTTAAGTGAAATCAGTGGAGTTTGAAAGGTCTTTGAGTCTTCTAATAGTGGCCTTTGGAATTTCTCGAAAATATTATCTAAAAATAAAGTTATGCTTGTTTTAGTAATCTGCATCGTGTCAAATCCGAGATTTCTGTCCAGTACATTCGAGTAATATTTTCGTGTTTCAAACGTTATTGTCGAAACCCCAAATTTTATATGTGGTACATATATGAATGATTTAATCCCTGTAAAAATTTCATAAATTTTAATAGACATTTGCTAGGCCAAAGATATTTTTCTTCCGCTGTCGTTAAATCCGTAACTGTCGATTTACCTTCAAATATTTTACAAAATCAAATTTTGCTACATTTGCCTAAGTTATATAGATAACTACCTTCCATTATATTTTTATATATTTTTTAAAAAAATTTTGGATTTATAAAATACTTTGGCTATCGTCAAAGGGCTCGAACCAAAGAAAGAAACGAATATTATTTGAACGCTTCGGTTTCCGAGAATTCGGGGCGTTACAGTTAGTGTGCGGGAGATTCGTTCTTTTCTTGGACATGCAGGTTTTTACCGCAGATTCATCAAGGACTTTTCCAAAATAGCATTACCTTTATGCAAACTACTACGAAAGGATGTGACATTCGAGTTCGATGATACATGTAAAAAGGCCTTTGACACGCTTAAGGAGTTGTCAACCTCTGCCCCAATTATCCAAAACTTTCCATTTGAGATCATGTACGACACAAGCAACTTTGCAGTAGGTACTATTTTGGGTCAAAGAATTGGGAAAGCATCCCATGCCATCTACTACGCTTCCAGGACTTTAAATGGTGCTCAACGAAACTACTCCACAACTAAAAAAGAACTATTGGCTGTTGTTTTTGCTTTAGAAAAATTTCGCCCTTATTTGCTTGGTACTAAAGTAATTATTTATTCTGATCATTAGCTCTTCGCTATTTGATGATGAAGAAGGAGGCAAAACCAAGGCTAATACGATGGATACTTCTCTTGAGTGAATTCAACTTGGAGATCAAAGATAAAAGAAGAACATAAAATAGTGTTGCAGATCATTTGAGCAGTTTAGCTCATGTAGACAATGAACTTTAGTTGCAAGAATCATTCCCCGATGAGCAACTGCTTGCTGCTAATGCAACACTACCTTGGTACGCAAATATGGTAAATTATTTAGTTACTAATGAATTTTCTCCTAAATTGTCTAGGGCTCAATGGGACAAAGTCAAAAATGATGCTAAGTACTATGTGTAGGATGACCCATACTTATGGAAGCATTGTACAGATCAAGTGATAAGAAGGTGCATTCCTGAAAACAAAATTATGTCCATTCTCACTTTTTGTCATTCTTATGCATGTGGGGGTCACTTTGGCTCAAAAAGGATAGCAAGAAAGGCATTAGAATGTGGATTTTATTGGCCATCTTTATTTCGAGATGCTTATTAATTCTGCAAGACCTGCGAACAATGTCAAAAGATACGTAATCTATCCCAAAGGAATGAAATGCCACAAACACCCATACTCGTTTGTGAAATTTTTTATGTTTCGTGCATCAATTTCATGGGATCATTTCCTACATCTTTTGGTTATGCTTATATTTTACTTGCTATTGACTATATATCGAAATGGGTGGAAGCAAAGGCCACCAGGACTAATGATTCCAAAGTAATTGTAGATTGTATCAAGTCTAACATATTCTCTAGGTTTGGAACCCCAAGGGCTCTCATAAGTAATCGAGGCACTCATTTCTGCAATCGAACTGTGGAAGCCTTATTGCGAAAATACCATGTAACCCACAAGGTGTCCACTGCCTATCATCCACGAACTACTTAACAAGCATAAGTGTCAAATAGGGAAATCAAATCCATCATTCACAATACAGTCTGTCCAAGTAGAAAAGATTGGAGTATGGGCTTAGATGAAGCTTTATGGGCATACAGGACTGCATACAAGACACCCATTGGAATGTCACCTTACCGGTTAGTGTTTGGAAAACCATACGATCTTCCAGTCGAACTAGAACACAAGGCTTTTTAGGCTATCAAAAGTTTCAACATGAAGATAGATGAGAGCGGAGAGCACAGAAAGTTGCAAATTCAAGAATTGGAACAAATTCGCAATGATGCCTATGAGAGTGCAAGATTTTACAAGGAAAAGATGAAGGCTTTTCACGACAAAATGATCTCCAGGAAGGAATTTAGAATTGGTCAAAAAGTCCTTCTATACCATTCGAGACTTCAATTGTTTCTAGGTAAATTATGTTCCCGTTGGATTGGACCCTTTATTGTTACTAATGTCTTTCCTCATGGTGCAGTTGAAATACAAAGTTTGGCAATTTCTAAAGTGTTCAAGGTGAACGGCCATAGACTTAAACCTTTCTATGACAGTATCCAAGTGGAAGAGCTACAACACTGGATCTTGAAGATCCAGTCTATCCCGGTTGAAGAAGGACGCAACCAGTCTAACCAAAGACAATAAAGAAAAGTGCTGCTTGAGAGGCAACCCAAGGGGAGTTCATTCCTTTACATATTATTTTTCTTTTTGTTTTCATATTTGCATTCATATTTTAGGTCAAATTTGTTCTCTTCTTGACATCTCACTTTACATTGGGGACAATGTAAATTTTAAGTGTGGGGGAGAGAATTTAGATTGAGTCTAAAATTTTCAATTCGTATTTTTGTGTTTATTTTTGACTTTGTGATAAAACTTCGACATAAGGGAAAGAAAATAAAGTGGTTTTGAACAATTTTAGTTGTGTATGCTATTTGCTAGATTCAATTGAGCTTCTGAAGAATTTATAACATGATTGAATAAGTAATATCCCAACTTAGAGTTAATTAGTGTGGTTATTTTCTTTGAGGACTAGATTTTGTGGACAAAAAGCCGTGAGATTTTGAGGCTTATGATTGAAACCATATCGGTCTCACTATTTTCTTTCATGAGTGATTTTCTTCCATGGACTCGCTTTTCTAGAACTTGCCTTGATTCTCTTCAAGGCCATATTGATACATAAATGCATGAACATGATTAAGGCCATCGTTATTGCATAAGTTAGTTAGCTTAACCAAATAGCCTACCCTGTAATTAATTTTTCCTTTGTTGAACCCCTTTCAATTGAATGGAACATATTATTCAATTTCAATTCATAAGTTCCATTATTAGTGCAATGTTTTGAAAAAAAATTGAAAAAAATTTAAAAAAAATGATGGAAAGGGCAAAAAAGAAAAAAAGTGATGGAGAAAATGATTTTCAATATTCCATAATTACTCTATGTTCATGATTTCTCCCAGAATCACAAGAAAATGATTGGGTTGTGTATAATAGATGCAAAGAAGCTGTAAGTGGAGAGATTTGATCTTACATGTTTTATGTATACATTTGAGCTGAGTTAATTCATTTTACTCCACTAGTTTCTATGGCTTTTGAGTTACTTATCCAAATATCTCACACCTGGATCCTCAGCCACGTTACAGCCCATAAAAAAGACCTTGCGATTTATGTAATGCATGTGATCTAATTGGTGCAGAATGAGAAGATTTGTAAGCTTAAAGTAGAACATCTCTGTCGGAGTAAACTTGAGCGAAACACTTACCCATTAAACACATGAGAGTTGAGTGCTTATATCCTGTGAGAGTCTACATGTTTGATCTTCATTTGAGAATGCTTGTTGATTAATTATAAGTTGTGCGAGAATGTTTATCCATGAATTGTTATGTGTATTGAAGAGTTTGATTGTTCTATGTATGTGGCATTAGAACCCTATGAAAGTGAGTTTGAGTTTTACTCAAGGACAAGCAAAAGCTAAGTGTGGGGGAATTTAATAAGACGTGAAATGTTGTGATTTACATCCATTCTTGCACTTTTATGATTAATTAACACCTAAATGTGCTAAGTACCCTTATATTGTAATTTAGGTTGCATTTGGATGATCATGGCATAAAATAGAAGAAAGAGTGAAAAAGGACTTAAATGGAAGAAATTGAAAGTTCAGGGACCAAGTTGTAAGTAATCTCTAGATGAGACGAGCAATGGAATGAAGATTAAAGATGTTGCAGGATCAATTGGACACAATTAGAAGTTGAGGGTTGAAATTGTAAGAAAAGCAATTTAAAAGAATCAAAAATAGAATTCGGGACTAAAATACAACTTTTGGAAGAAATTTTGCCTGGGCAACAGCCAGTTATAAAATCCAGGCAACCGGCCAACACCAAAAATCAATTACCGAAGCCAAAAGCCATGCCTGAACGTCTGTCCAAGTTTTTCCTGAGGGACAGCCCAGGTGAATCGCGGCGAGAAAAATCTGGTTTCCTTTTTTGATTGAAATTCTTATGGAAACAAGGCTTGTTCATGATATATATACCCCAAATCTCATTCAAAACCTAGAGAACGCCCCCAACCCTATTTTCCTCTCTTTGTGCTCAAGATTATTGATAGATTGCTAAACTTCATCTCTTGGTCGAAGGTTATTGAAGCTTTGGAATCGTTTTCAATTGTGAGATCTACCTAATTTTCATCGTTTAATTTATATTTTCAGTATTGAATATTCTTCTATGCTTGATTTCATGATTGATGTGTTTGATTACAAAAAGGATCCATTAGTTTATCTTGTGTTGCAATCTATAACTAAGTTAAATATCAAATCCATAATTGTATGATTAATTTAACTTGTGAAGCAACTAGAATTAGTAATTTGCTACTTTGGAAAAGTATTAAAATTTAGGAAGAATATTTATCTAGGTTAAATGCAATCGCTTGACTTGTGTTATCTAGTTCATTGATTTTTCTAATTCGGAAAGCCATTATTAAATTAAATTCTCGCACTTGTCTAAGATTGTTTGGTAATGATGATTAATTAGATCGTTCGTTTCTAATTAATTAAAAGTAAGGAGAAATAGGAAATTGTTTCGAATGGGAAATTACTTTTCAACGATGAATACTAGAAGTATGAATTAATAATTATTTGTGTATCAATGACCAATTGTAAATCTCCAACGGTGGATGCTGACTTAGACCAATGTTCGTTCTACTGATTTCATTTAATTCGATAATTTGCATTTACATTAATTGCCATTTTTAATAATTGTTTGTTTCAAAACCAAACCCCCCTCCCTTTTTAGTTAATATAGCATAAAAGATAGACTAAACACTCTTTGTGGGATCGACCCTTACTTCCACTACTACATTTTTTTTGAGGAGTATAGGTTCTAATTTGAAGTGTCTGTGACAGCATGCACCAGAAGACGAGGGACGAAGCGACTTGAATCCTGAACTTTGAGATTTGTTGAAAATTTGATATGTTGATAACTTAGCTTGTTCGTTGCTTAGATTTCGGGGCTTGGATTTGCACTTTAGGACGTGGACTTGAATTTGATTTGATTTGAAGTAGATTTTAATCTCTTTTGGACTTGACATAGACTTGCTTGATTTGAAGAAAATTTTAGTCTTCTTGTTGGTTGCTGGACTTGTGATTGAGAGAATTTCTTCTCTTCTTTCGGCTTTTGGATTTCTTGAGCACTTCCTAATTTTCTTATGCTCTTTCACTTGTGAAATTTTATGGGCCTTTGGTCCTATTTATAGGTAAAATTCATAATTAATTTTGTGAATGTGCAATTATCTTTATTTAATTGAATAATTATAAATTTTTAAAAAATTGGATGGGCTTTTGAATTTTTTGGGCCTTAGTAGACTTTAATTTAGCCCCTGTTTGGCCCCCTTTCTCATGCTCATTCTCATTCTTTTTCTCATTCTTATTTTCAACCACACAATCTTCCATAAAATAATATTGCACGCAAATAAAAAAAATTTTATTCTTTTTCAACCACACATTTTTTTAAAAACACTATTCCCACCATTAAAGTTTGGAAAGAATGGGGGCCAAACAGGGGCTTAATAAACTTAATTTGGTATTTATTTGAAATCAACTATGTAGGCATCTTTCCCTTCATCAAGCTTAATCACAAATTCAATTGTTGGGCATCAATGAAGTCAAAAGAATGTGTGCTAATTTAATCTTCATTAATTTCTACTTCAAATAGGAAAAACCTCACAATATCAATGCAAGTGTGAAAGATTTGTCAATAAGAAAAAAACTAGGATTTTGATTTCACCTAACTATCAAATATGTTACTCAATTATATAATTATTTCTAATTAATTTTCAAAAGCTTATAAGTAGAACCCTAATGTAGAATTCTATTCCTTATCTCGAATGCTAAGTAAAAACTATTCCTATATTTAAATTCCATTATCTCTACTCCGAATTAAAATATAGAAATTATAAAGTTTGTTTTCTTATGTGGAAAATGCTTTAAAGGAATTATACTTTCTTTAGGAACCTATAATTTGCTAGGTTATGTTATTCTAAGATCACGCTTAAATTTCTCTATCTTACGTGTCAAAATTAACTAGCATCAAATTATTCAATTATTGATCAATTAATTGAAAGTATTAAACCAATAACATAAACAAACAGAATTGAAGTAGAAATAACAAAAATAAATCAAACCGTATTCTCAAGTTTTGGTTACCTCAAATGTATATGAAGAGTTTAGTTCATAGTAAAAGAAAAAATTCTACAAATCATGATGAATAACGTAGAGAGGAAGAAGAATAAAAAACTCTTTTAAAGCTTGAATTAATCTCGCTTCTTGATGTTCTTCTTGATCTCTTGATTAATTTTGTCATTCTTGCTCGATTGAATTATGCTTGAGAACTGGCCATTGACTCTTGTAAATGTTATGCCCTAAGTCCAATCGATTTAAGTTGTACAACGCTTTTAATATGTGTTGCACAGTTCCTATGGGATTCTAAAGAACAAACACGCTAACTACAGTTGAAGAGTTGGAAAGAAATTTGCCTTCCAATAGAGCAAACAAGGCTTTAGGAGACTACAAGATGTGGTACACTTTCTTTATGAATCTCTGATGGTAGTTATGTTCTCAGAGCTTTCTTTGGGCTCAGTTCTTACTAGAAAAATATTGTATGGGGACTCATCCATCACTTGCAGCGGTTCCCTACTTGGCATCTACTACCTAGAAGAGGTTAAAAAGAGTTGTGCCACTCATTACATGGCACCTTGGAGCATGACAGATGTTCCTTTGGCGCGATTGTTGGATGGGTGATATTACAGTAGCATCTCTAATCCCAAATAAGCAGCACACATCCACAAGGGTACTGGATTATTTTAATAACATTGTGTGGAATTTTGGACGATTATTACATGTTTGTACTCCTTACATGATGATACTTTAATGTACAGATGCCTCGGACCATATTGTTTGGAGGAGCTTTGCTACCAATTTAACATAGCAGCTAATTTGTTCGGTCACTAGTCTCAGGACTCTATAGATTACTGTGAAGCTCCATTTTGCCTACCTCTATTTCATTCTTCTGTTGGGAATTATGGCAGACTCTCATTTTAGTAGATGTAATCATTCAGAAAATGTTTGGGTGTTAGCTGGCTTCTTGATATTGGTGTTG